TATATATTTATTTAATTCTTTTATATATATGTATAGATTGATATCAACACGTATAACATCGAATTCTTCTATTAACTCTTTTTTTTTTTTATTCCATTTTGTGAAGAAAATTGCGATAGCTGGCTGAATGAATTCTTAATTACAAGTCTTCTGTTATCTCTTTCTTTTTTCCTTTCTCGAACTTTTCTCACTTCGCTAATGCGCGTGGAACAACCGAAAATGCGACAGAGCTAGATCCGATCGTTCGTCGTCATTCCCTTTCAGTTTATGGCGTTTCGATTGCTGAACGACATTTTTGCTCTTCTCTTTTTACGTCGCAACACTTATTCTAGGAGGAATACGAAATTTCGAGGCGTTTCTTTCTTTACCTTCGAATACTCAGGCTCCTCTTCCTTCGTCTATCCGGTCTCTAATGTGTCTCGTAAGTATTATCTGTTCTTCGTTTAATGGACACGCGTAATCTTTGTAATTACTTGTACAGACATAGCTAAGGTATTACTAATCGTGGAATGAAACGGCGATGTGTCACTTGTTCGTTATTTGTCGGTTTGTTTCTTGGTTTGAAATTACGTGGACGCAGTTTAACCCTTTGCCACCTTGTGTCGAGAGCGTTCTCTATTTTATATCTTCTATACTTTCATTCGGGGAGAAATAAAGGACATGAAACCTCCTCGAAATGAAACAATTCATATTGAAATTGCTGTAAGTTATGGCTAAGAATGGAGAATTAATTTCGATTGTTCGACGTGAAGTGAAACTAACGATATTAGATCACAAAAGGTTCAACTGAACTACACTGGTTGAAATAAAACACGAACCCGGCAGTAATCTCGATAGTGACTCTATTATGATACGTGCATTGACACTGATGATTCTCTATAATATATATGTATAGATATATTGTATATAGTACTGTACATTTGATAAAAAAAAAAAAAAGAATTTCTGAATGAGTATTTTACGTGTCACGTGTACAGTTTGCTAAAACGAATTGTCGAAATAGAGAAGAAAATTGTGAAGCAAAAGTTTCCCTCGTCGTACCGTTTCTCGTGCTTGAACTACTGCAGTATATTATGATCTACTGTCGATACATTTCTTCTTTAATGTTCTGCATTAATGAATTTTTTGATCGGTGTTACGAATAACGCTATAATTTTTCTCTTCGACAAAGACAATCTCTCTTGCGTACATTTTCATTGAATAATATTTGTATCCTAATAACATGTAACAACTATCAATTTACATATAGGGATATGCTTGTCAATGCAATTATATAACATGAGAAATATATTTCTACATTAAACTTTCACCAATGTAACGTTTCTGCATCAACACTTTCAAATAGACGAAATAACACTTTTTTTTATTTTAAAAATTGGATATCGCATCGAGACACCATATAGTAATTAAGTAAAATATCACTTTTTTCTAATAATGAACATCAACGTTGTTACGATAGATCAAGAACGAGTAACGCGTTAAATCAGGGAATACCTTCATTTTCCGAATTTCCTTCTTCGAGCTAGAGAAGATCCGTTTAAACATCCTGTACAGCGTCGGAATGTGTTCATCAAGTCACTTCTACCGGAGAAAGCTTCCGTTTCTTTCGACGATAATTGTACAAAAACTCGTTAGCAAGCACGTTCGGCCTGCAATAAGATGTGGCAGTATTATCAGTAAGTAGATAGTGAAGTACGATATGATACAGAGAGCAAGTGTAACTGGAAATCATGTCTGCGTTGCAAACGCGAATCATGCGTCGAGAGGTAACGACGTCATATTTTTACCATCGTTTTACAGTGTCGTTCGAATCGAGAGGATCTTTAAGAACGAGTTTTACTTTGCCTATGTACATCGACCCAGTTCGTGCAACCAGTTTTCGATTGATTCTTTAACGACACAGAAAAATGGCGGTCCATGTGCCTATCCACGCGAATCGTCGCGCCAGCAGAAATGACGCTCGTATACACATACACAAAGAACTATAGTGCATCATTGTCAATGAAATCGAAGTACCATAATTAGGCGAGACGTACTTGTACGAAAAAGTTTATGGCCTGGAATATCGACGGCCTTCGATCTGAACTGACGTAGACGCAGAATAGTATAATAGTCACCTTTACACCTGCGTTTTAACTAGAATATCAGCATAGGAAGGACATGGATCCTCGTTTTTGGTGAACATTCGCGTAGTCGTTCAGAAAAGAAGAACGTCAGCATGGTAACTAAGCCGTATAATTACACGAAACTGTAAGCTTGAATCTTTCGTCATCGTCAACGAGAAATCGAATAGACAACTCTAGAAAACGCCAACCCCTGCCCACCCTTGTACTCGAAGAAGGTTCCCCGAAATCTCTGCTCTACCTCCACATTCGTCCCTCTCGTTCGTAGTTTCTCTAAATTACTTATTGGTTGGTACGGTTAATTAATCATTTGGTACGATCAATGGCGCCTCTAACACGCGAAACTGTCCACACGTCGCGCGATCGCTGCCCCTAAATATCTTTTCCCTCGCGCGAGACTCTTGGATTCTCGTGTTGGGGCCCGCGCGCGCGCGCGCAAGTGCGAGACACCTGACACACACGGTTCCTATCGATACGATAAAACTTCAAATCAAGAGAATCTCTATCGTTACGTAATAACACCTGCTCGTTCGTAGTGAACCATTACTGACGGTAAGTCGTCTATGAAATCGCTAAATAGTACGTTTCCCGTTTAAGCTTCGACCACATAAGTTATCGGCCGTCTGGCTCTTGTCTAATCGAGAAAGAAACCACGATATCCCCTTGGAGATCAGTCCAAGAGCCTCGACCCGGAGTCACTTCATTCAGGATCGTCCCCGATCCGTCGATCGTGCTTCGACCTTTTCACAAGGGAACACATTTAACGGGGTGGGCTTTGTTTTTCTATTAAAAGGGAGGCTAAAGCAAAATGCTCGAACACAGTTTACGCAGTATCAGTTCAGAGATCACGAATTTGTCTCGTTACGCGAGCAAACAGGGAAATCATCAGAGTCGTTCGGGGACAAAAACCAACTCTGATGATCGCTCCTCGAGCATGACTTTCTTTCGAGTCCAAACCCAGATCTCGTGCACTGCGTTCTTCCGGGCGAAGACGATCGGAGACGGTCCCGAAATAAATTCCTAGGTGCACCTATGACAGACTCGTAAAATGTTAGGTTGTCCTTAAAGTAGCCACTTGGCTACCAGGATCATAATTAAATGCGGTGCCAGGCTGGTTAGTGACGCTGTTCCGGTCACCCAAACGTCGCTTTCCTTCATCAACACCGTATCGATCACATGAATGATGCCGTTGGTGCATTCGACGTCTGGACGGAACACTCGGATCCATTTGCCCTTCCACTCGATCTGGTAACCTGTAAAGAGAAACGGTATCGATCGATAAATCGTATCACGATAGAGGCAGATTGATATCTGGACGACTGATGGATTAGATGAACGAAGCGAGTTGCGATGTTACAGCGATAGACAGTTTCCAGTGAGCGTTCACTTGTCGAGCATGGAATCGGGTGACACTAAATTGCGCTTGAAAATCAAGTTCTGAATCTACGAAACACAAAAACGGCAAAATGCATGTAGCAAATATTCATACGATTGTTATTTCGTTGAATCTTTTTTTTTTTAGTTAAACGTCACGCTTCTCGCGTTTCGGACGAAAAAGAAACATTATCTGATCGTTGCATGATCGATAGCTACTTAGCTTAAGGGGAGAGACTTGTGTAACTCGCTAAAAATAAGGTGATCTTTGTGAATTTATTCTTCAAAAACAGTGTAACAGATCTTTTGAAAGTTTTTAGGGTACTTTATTCAACATCTAAAGAAGTAGAAAACATTTTTTTCGGTGTTAAGTAATTCGATTATTATACACTGTAAAGGTATTTCGCCGCGGCGTCAGCGTCGACGTAGTCAATCCGTATGCAGCCTAGCGTCCATTCAATTCACCTAAAACAAAAAATTCAGACAGTTTTTGTTCTTTATAAGATTACGCTATGAATGAACCTAATTATGCGAGCAAGGGATGCAAAATTGATGAAATAGCGATACATTGAAAAAAAAGTCGCGATTTTAACAAAACATTTTCGTCTTAATCGTGCAATAAAAGTAATTAATATTAATAATATCGTTAAATTCGTTGGTTCATCCAGAGAGGAATGTATTAATCTACATAATCGCAAAGGGACAATTCAACTGACTGAATATTTTTTGAGTTATGCTGCATGCCAATTTGGAAAAGGTCCTTCCGTGAATTGGGCATTGAAAAGTAAGAATTTTTACAAACTCACAGCTGCTTTTTTGCTAGTCTACTATTCCAGAATCATTCAGCAAACTTTCTGCTTTCTTAAAACATTCACGTTGCTCAAATTGTTGTTATTTGAGCCTCCTTGGATCTATTTAAAATGTGGTATTCCTGCTTTTTCAGCCGCTCCGCGTCGTAAGTGTCGCTGAAAAATATGTATGATTATCCAATATTGAATTTCAATTCCACCATTTCATCAAGGGTGTTGACATTTCTCCTTATTAGTCCTAATAATTTGTCAATTTTTTAATGTGAACGTATGTTAACTTAACTTTTTCTCCAAGTTTTCTTGTTTCCTTTTTTATATTCAGAACCTAAGAACCCACTTTTCACACTTAAAAATCATCCCCATAAGGATTCAAATCTGAACGTTTGAGTCTCCGTCTCCAATGTAATTGGTGTGTGTGTGTGTGTGTATAACGCATAGCAATAAAGTCGGTTGCAGTCTGGTTAATGATTAATACTTCAAATTTCAATTTACAACATCACAGACATATTTCCTAGATGTACTACTATTGATTTATGCGAAAAAAAATATTTTTTTCGACCTGTCACACGGAATCTTCTCCCTTAAGGGGATACACCACCCTGAGCCGTCTAGAAATAGGTAAAGTTAGGGAATTTTTTTCACGGGTAGCTACTAAATGAAAAGTTTCAATTTTTTTTAAAAGATATAAATGAACTTTTCATTTAGTAATTACGTATGAAAAAAACTTCCCTAACTATGCCTATTTTTAGACGGCTCAGGGTGGTGTATCCCCCTTAAGGGAGAAGACTCGTGTAACAGGTCGAAAAAAATTTCTTTTTTCGCATAAATCAATAGTAGTACATCTAGAAAATATGTCTGTGAAGTTGTAAATTGAAATTGGAAGTATTAATCATTAACCAGGCTACAACCAATTTTATTGCTATGCGTTACGCACACACGTGCCAATTACATTGGAGACGGAGACTTAAAAACGTACAAGGCAATTTCAGATTTGAATCCTTATGGGGATGATTTTTAAGTGTGAAAAGTGAGTATGGTCACATTCGAAAACGAATGGGTTCTTAGCTTAGAAATATAAAAAAGGAAACAAAAAAACTTGAAGGAAAAGTTAAGTTAACATACACTACCGGCCAAATGTTTGGAATCACTGTGCATTGCAAGTTGCACAAAAATTCCCCAAAAAGGTTAGCATTTATAATAATTTTCCAGCGAATTTTATCATTCAAGTCAATCGAAATGAGGTAAAGTGCTATCGATCTCCACAATATCAATTTCAAATCAATAAAGAATTAGTAGCAGATTCAATATTAATGTAAATTGCCAGGTGATTCCAAACTTTCGGCCGGTAGTGTACGTTCACATTCAAAAATTGACAAATTATTACGACTAATAAGGGGAAATGTTAACACCCCTGATGAAATGGTGGAATTGAAATTCAATATTGGATAATAATACACATTTTTCAGCGACACTTACGACGCGGAGCGGCTGAAAAGGCAGTAATACCACATTTTAAATAGAACCAAGGAGGCTCAAATAACAACAATTTGAGCAACATGAATGTTTTAAGAAAGCAGAAAGTTTTCTGAATGATTCTGGAATAGTAGACTAGCAATAAAGCAGCTGTGAGTTTGTAAAAATTCTTACTTTTCAATGCCCAATTCACGGAAGGACCTTTTCCAAATTGGCATGTAGCATAACTCAAAAAATATTCAGTAATTGATTTGTCCCTTTGCGATTATGTAGATTAATACATTCCTCTCTGGATGAACCAACAAATTTAACGATATTATTAATATTAATTACTTTTATTGCACGATTAAGACGAATATGTTTCGTTAAAATCGCGACTTTTTTTCAATGTATCGCTATTTCATCAATTTTGCATCCCTTGTTCGCATAATTAGGTTCATTCATAGCGTAATCTTATAAAGAACAAAAATCGTCTGAATTTTTTGTTTTAGGTGAGTTGAATGGACGCTAGACTGCATGCCGATTGTCTATTTCGGCGCCAAGGCTACGGCGAAATATCTCTACTGTTGTGACGTGAATCTAATTTGTTGATCAATAGTTTTCCGCGTCTCTCACACGCCTACTCAAAGTTGCGTGAGTTGCAAATAATCTTTGTGTGAAGCTTGCTAACCAACAGATATGCACACTGTCTTTAGTCTTTGAAATATTCTTTGCGAACTGTTTTTGGCGTTCGATTTTCCTTGCATTTAAGTCAAAGTGTGTAGTGTGGGAGTGGTTTATGCAGACGAACAGGGTATCTTCTTCCTGTTGAGCTGTTCTCCACGAGCCACGAGTAGTGGCGGGGGTGTGAGGCCCAAGGGAAGGTCAGTCGTAACGGGACTAAAATGTGTGTGCAGTGGCTTTACGACACGGCAGTTGCCATTGAAGGAAACGTACGGGCCACCAGGAAGACGTATGGCACGCAGAAGCGTCGAGTAAAACACTTTCTGCTCCCCGACATCGCTTCGTAAACAGAAAAGGATTTAAATTAGAAGTCCCCCAAAATAGCAGGCCTGGTCGTCCGTGTCACAAAGTCAAGCTATTAAAGGTTGCGTTTGCGACTCAATAATATCTACAGTTTATAATAATCGAATTATTTTCCACCAAAAAAATATTTTCAACTTTCTTAGATGTTGAATAAAATAACGTAAAAGTTTCGAAAAGATCTATTTCATTGGGCCTTAAGAATAAATTCACAAAACTCACCTTATTTTTAGCGAGTCACACGAATCTTCCCCCCTTAAGTCTAGAAAAAAAATCCAGTAGTTTAAGTATCATTTTTTTCCATATTTTTTAGTCGCATTTCAAATAGAACAAATGTTACGAAAGCCTATGATGTATGACTGAAGTTCAGCTAGATTAAGTTATTTGAAAAGCAAGCAACATTTAATTAAAAAGATCAGAAAAAAGGAGGACACGTGTGGTTAACAACAGAATAATAATATTGGCAAGTCTTATTAATTCTGTTATATTAGCAATTATTACATTTACATTTTCTTTCTTGATACCTGAATATCTTTTGTCTTCAATTCTACGCTCAAAGTTTTTCTTAATTGCATTTGTCGTTTCATTGTTCTTGATATTGTCACGCATGTACTTCCCTCCTCTGCTATTTTTTCACTTATAGGTCGGTTGTAAAATAGCAACATTGGTTGCAAATAGAAAAGGCTTTGACAATTCACAGTTCGTGGTCGAGGGAAATGACCGGTGAGCACGTAGCAATTAGCACCAGGGGTAATCAAGGAATTTGCATTTAAATGGTGGTCGAAAGGTGCATAATAAATCGTCTTGCGGTCCCGACCCATAATTGCACACGTTCTTCGTCAGACTCCGTTTACCGAGAGTGCCCGGAAGCCACGAAATGATCGTGTATCGGAACCGAATTTCCCTCTAACGAATTTTTTCCACGTGATTTTACACCGCGTTAGTCGACACCGTTTTATGTATGAAAGATTAGTGGGCAGATTCGTAATTATTCAATAATTAATACTTAATTCTATTCCATTTCTACTGAAATTATAAAATGAAAAAACACTTATTTATCAATACCTATGTAATATGAAATTCATATGTGGATCGTTTTGTGTTAAAAAACATTGAAATGTAAATTCATCTTGCATAGAACGGTGATAAATTTTTCTAGACACTACCAGTAGCCTGTAAATTTATTACTTGTACAATGTACACTAATACTGAGAAATTTTGATTTTAAACAATTCTTATACTTAATTACTATTTGTTCTCATCGAGGATTTTTCCATCAGTGCTCAATACATTTTTTAGTATTTAGATTTGCAAGCATTTCTGATGGCTTATAAAGAAATTTGATTTTATATTTGAAACGTAAAATACCAACTTCGTTTAGATAACAGTGCTAAAAAATTTTTTAATTTTGATATAGCACTGAATAGTTTGCAGGTTATACTTTACAAGAATATTTTACAGGACAACGTTTCTTTTTGTTTCAACATATAATGCAATACAGACAGCTCTTCACAAAAGGTGTGTCAATTGAAAATGACCCGAGACAGCTGGAATTAAAAACAATTCACAGATGCCCATATCTATTTGTTTCCTGTCGCTCCGTCTACTTATCCTTGCAATACTAATGGCGGCCAGTATATATTGTATTAGGTTGTCCGGAAATAAATTGCGGTTTCTGTACATGAGATTTAAAGACGCGTAGTTTTGCTTAGAATGAATTTATTTAATCGAAATAATTTCCATTAGATTCTATACACTTTTTCCAACGTTTTACAAGAGTTCCTATTCCATTACAGTAACAATCAGGAGTTCTAGAATTAATAAATTCCACAAAGGTATTTACAGCATCCTCTTTATTACGGAAGATTTTTTCTCGCAAAAAGTAATTCAGTTTACCAAACTTGGTTGTTCAACAAATAACATTTTATGCATTATAATCATTAGTTGTGCTTTCACCGAATACACGATTGATATTACGGGCAGTTTCCGCCGCTTTACGTCCTAATTTAAATTCATATAAAAATATGGTACGAATTTGCTTCTTGTCCATTGTTACGTTTTTAAGTTATACTCAGAACAAACGACGGTAAAAAACAAAAGTGTATCGCTTATATGATAGAGCGACGTCTACGCGTTCAAATGGTATATTACTTAATAAACATAAATTTAAAATATATAGTATAGAAGAGCCCTAAATATGACATAACAGAAAACCGCAATTTATTTCCGGACAACCTAATATTTCACTATTTCTCGTTTTATATTTTCACGTATGTAATAGACATAATACTTTACGCGCAAACTAGTACTCACTTTGTTCAAATACCACAACGATAAAGTGCAGCATGTTACATTTTCGAAATTCTATAATTCGCTTAATAACACCTAATTAATATCTTCTCTTTGGCTATTTCGTCAATTTCATGGACTGCCCTATCGAAGAATTTCATGTTCTGATGCTAGACCAATACGGACAATGGCAAAGTATTTTGTTTTAGAAAACAAAGACAAAGTATTTTCTTCCTTTCACAATTTTTTCAAGATTAAAAAAGTAAGTGACATTTTAGCAATCAATATTAATAAGGTGGTAGCTGCGATTAATGTTAACAAATGTTCGTAGAAGTATACCAAAATATAAAATTCAACATTTGCCATTCAGTATAGACGTACACGAACATCTTTATACCATGAGCGATACTTCCAAGAGAAACGACGACGATGAGCACGACTACTTACATGGTCATACTTGATCGTATTTACGCAGAGAACTATGTAGTACGGCGTTTTACTCTAACAAGCTTAATCAACTCGTTTAAGCGGCAACAAGCAGCATGTACGGCACGTATGTCGGTGTTTTCTTGCAAAATCGTCAAAATACTCACCGTACAATCATTCAGATAATTAAGTATTAGCAATGCATGTCGAAATCTGTAAAACTCAGCACGTTAATTGTTACAGGTTCTGATCTCGTCTCGGTGAATTATTTTCTGATAAACAATCACGAAACAAGAACGCAGCGACGAATACGAAAGAATAATTGATAAAAATCTAGCTTCCGGCATATGTTAGAGTATTCTGTTGCGTGAGTTATTAATGTTCTTTTTTTAATTATTGTGCTATTGCCAAAATATTTATAACAAAATTTACATTAAACTTGCATACCTATTTAGAAAATAAAAATAATACCTGTTTAAAGAACAACAAATAATCCTTCGATCAAAAGTAAGATATAATTCTTATAATATATTCGTCCCATTCGTAAACTTTTGTCGTGTCCCTTTCATAAATATGGTAACAGAATTAAAAATCTAACCAACAATTAGTAGAATATTAAACGAAAGTAGCGGACATTTTATGTTACCGTTCTTGAATAAATACCTGTTCAGATGTAGTAATAAAGAAATTAGTCGGCAATAACAGTACTTGGCAAAACATTTCAAGAAACTACCAAAAATTTTACTTTTCATATCGAAAAAATTCAATTGTGCATTGCTGCCCTACTTGAAACGACAACGCTTCAAGTTGCACGTGATTGCACATGGATGAATGTTGCTATCAAATAGAAAGATTATCGTAGTGGGCAGATTTTTCATTTTTGGGATATTTACAATGTTCCTTTCATCCCACCCCTTATCCAACATACTAACATTTCAACACTTTGCAATAGTTAGTGCGAATTATAATTTAACATTCCATTATTTAGGGTATTGAAATGAAAAATAATATGTGATTTATTAATACAAACGTGAAATATACAAGGTGCTGAAAAAGTTACGGCCAAACTTCAGAAGCATGTAATACTCGTAGAAGCAAACAAAAAAGTTTAAATAGATATGAGCATAGAAGTCATTAGTTTTGGAGTTATGAGACGTCTTTAGTGTTACCGGTGAAATATTACCCCTGTCTGCAGCATATGTTCAATATGTATAGTAGTAGTATTCTATTTACCTTGCTTGACTTTGTAATAATTGATAAGTTATAATGACTCACTCCGTAGGTTTCACCCATGTTTATTAAGACGCTTTTGTTTGTTTTGATGAATACTAAATGCTCCTGAAGTTTGGCCGCAACTTTGTCCAACAGCCTGTGTATCTTCTACAATGGAGTTAGGCACCTTGAATTCATCGATGGATTCGTCTCGTATAATATTTTTGCATAAAAGAATTTATCTTACAAGGCGTGAAAGGTGGTTCCTATCCAGCTTTTATTAACGAATTTCTGTATCTGTACCCAGTCAACACCTAGATTTTGTTTTCATTTCAGTGCAATATTACCTAGATCTCAAAACTAAATTCGCTACACTTCAACGTTGAATTCGAAAATTGAACGAAATAAATGAACTATTTCAGCAAATTTCCACGGATGTAGGTATGTATCAAGTTTCAATAATAAAAGCTGCAGCAAATAGTTTTTAGCATTTGCCGGTAGATAACAGGCGTCGTATCCAGGGAATCATAATCTTTGCGTTGCCCTAGTGAAGCTAAGGAAACAAAACTGAAAGGTATAAAGATAGAAAAGTAATTAAACGGCCAAATAAACTGTGAATTAGTTACAAGTGAATTAACTGTCAAGCGAAGCGCGATCTACGCATTTTGAGGCGAAAAAAGCATTCCTTTCAAGCATGATACTGCATGAAACACGCGTACTTTATCAGGTTCAAACAAAGCTGTAACGAGGAAACTTGTACCTAATAGTACGAACGAGGACACGTGATCAAACGATTCCCATACACCGCATAGACCTCGTGTTAAATTTCGTATACATACTTCTGCTATTCATCGAACGACATTTTACGTGCTCTTTTGTAAAAATTACTCGTGTACGTTGAAAAATAGTGTACGTGTCTTTTCGTTTAAAACGAGACTGTGCGTGATTAGTTTGTAATCTTCATATCCATAACTGTCTCACGAGAAGGTAGTAGAAATTTCAGTATTGAGATACAACGCGGCAGTACTGTAGTATTTGGGCTCACATCTATTGGGTCATATGATACATCGTTGGCAAGCGTATAAACAGAGGAGCTCAGCATGGGTGGTTACCGAAAATGTTCCATTTAAAAAATATAAGTCAAATTAGGATACATTCTTTTTGCAAAAAGATCATTTTACCTACAAGTACATTTGCCATTGCGTATATTTAGGCGTGAATTGAGACGAGATTTTATACAACTAATTGTGTGTTCACCACACCAAATTGAGTTTGAGGTGGGTGAGGAACGTCGTTACCCTGTTTTCACCTCAATTTATTAAAGTATAAGTGTATGGTCGCATAGGCGTCTACGTTGTTGATTGTCCCGGCGGCAGCGGTTCGGCGGGTACGTCGCGATGGTCGGTAAAGGAAAAACTGTCCGGAGGTGTAGGCGTACTGGGTTTTTATATTGTTAGGACAGGGAGACAGGAGTAGCGATAGATAAAGGTAGAAGTGGAGAAAGTGGTGAAAGAGGAAAATTCGTAGAAAGCGGGCCGTTCGTCCTCGTGCGAACCTGGATGCCACATGTGCGCTTCTTAGGCCACTCGAGGACGAAGGCAAGTCTTAACCCGGGGAGAGACAAAAGAACGGAAACTAAAATCTGAAGGAGTTGGAAAAGAGAAGGTTCGCGTGGAAAAATAGAACGAGGTTTGTTGGCGACGACGTACCCGCCACAAGTTAAGTTTGGGTTAGATAGATTTCTACGCTAGTTTCTGAATGGGACATTTGCGGTAGCAATGATTAGCCATGTTGGACTTCTCTATTCATACGCGTTCCAATGATGTACATATCATACGACCCAATAGGTGTAGGCTCAAATACTATAGTGTAGCCTACAACGCGTTCACAGCGAACAGATGCCAAAAACGTATTGGCAGGGCAGTATCGGTTGATCTTGAATATTAATGATTACATTTATCGATTATTACACGTTAAAGAATTGCTACATCAATGCCTAAACTGATCTAAGAGATCATTGATGGACTTTCATTCGAGAATGCACGCAATCGAGTGTACGCGCTTTAAACACGGTGCGTAAAAGTGCGGAGAACCTTTCATAAAACTGACAATGTGCGCAGCTCATACTGGTGAAAGCACGTGTCGTCGCTCATCGGCGACGTTTAAACACTGAACTCACTCACCGAAAGTTTCTGGACGGATCGCGTTTTCGTCGTACTTCTCATCTAAATATAACGAAATAGCACCAGGTTTGAGAATGAACAGACATAGCTCCTGCATTCGAGCTTGGACGAAGTGATATATTTTTTTCTTTTATCCATTCGGTAACAATAATTAAGGAAAGAAAAAAAACGATACACTCGTGCATATTTACGTTTGATGCTGACAATACTTTGAAACAAACGTTGAGTGTATCTGAGAATATCTGGATAATTGCAAGAGAGTGCTTATGCAAACGGTCGAATCGAAAACGTGGAGATTCTCTACTTACTTTCACTGTACTCCCGGATGCGAAGCTTCAGACTATCTCTAGCCGCAGGAAGTACGATGGTGTCGTTAGGCTTCATCTCCTTTAGCTTGGCCATCGTATACGCCTCGTCTGCTATCACGAGATGTCGTTCCAAAATTTGTTTTGTCTAGAATACAGATTCGATGAATTTTTAAGATAAGAAACTCTATTGCATATTCCTGTTATCATTAACAATTTCATAATACGAAGGATTAGTAGAACCTATAGGGGGGAGTTCCCCTAGCACCGGACGCTTAAGGTTTTTCTTAAATAAATCTCTCTACCTGTGCACACGCGACTGAAACGCGTAGGAAACTTATTTTTATTCCTTTTGTCTCTGTTGCGTCGTGCGCTTCGAACAAGCGGTACGTTCGAGAGTGGTGGCGCAGGATTGTCGCTGGTTGCTGGTATGAAGTCGTGGTGACTTAGAGGTTGCACGTATTTTAATATGTTAAAAGAAAAAGACTTTATTTTGAAGAGTGGTAGTTTATGTGGTGTGTGTATTCGTTGCGTCCTACTTGTCTATTCCCTTTTTTTGATCTATCTGTGTGCCGCGTTGGTGCGCTTATTTATAAAAAAGTGTATGGGTATAAGGTGGTGGTCTCTTCCAATGTGCACGGGTCTACCCCCTTGGACGGTCCTCCTTGGCCCGCGAGCATGCCGCCCACCCTTGAATTTCCAAGTTGGCAGTGTGATGGTATGTCGCGATGGCGGGGAGTGAGGCCCAAGGATAGCCCGCTCGTAACGGGACCTTGGGCGGTCAGAGAGACGCGAAAGGTTTTATGACGTGTCAATGTCTGTTGAATGTTCACGAGTGGGCACCGGGAAGGTATGTGGCCCGCAGAAAATTAATTTTTCTGCAGCCATAAAACGCTTCCTGGCCAATTTGAAAGAAAAATTAATTAACGCGAAGAAAAAAGGGGCGCATTCAAAAATAGCGTAAACAGGCGTCCATGTCATAAACCCAATCCCTAACAGTCTCCTCTAAGAGATACGCAGAATAACGGCTCAGTAGCGTTTCAATTATTGCAAATATAACTAATGTCCGATATTAGGTACTGTCCGGCGTTAAGGGAACTCCCCCTACAGGGTGCCCGGTAAATCGTAAATCCCTAACAGTCTCCTCTAAGAGATACGCAGAATAACGGCTCAGTAGCGTTTCAATTATTGCAGATATAACTCGAGTCCGATATTAGGTACTGTCCGGCGTTAAGGGAACTCCCCCTACAGGGTGCCCGGTAAATCGTAGTGAAGGAGGATTGAGTGGATGTTTAGGTTTAAGTATTGAATTGCAAGTATGTTGTAATGATTTTTACAAACTGTATATTATTTATTACTGAAAATAATTGCTTCGTATTTTATCAATATTACCAGTTAAACATTGCATTGAAGTTGTCAGTTAACTTAAACCTGTAGCATTATAATTTCATGTTCAGTGTTATTTTTCTTGGAATCTAGGCAAGCAATCAGAAAACTTCATTCTACATTTCTCAGTTATCTTTTTCTTATAAGCAATCGTCTCCTTGTCGGTTGTATTATGACTTATCGGATACCCTGTATATTCACACATCTGTAACAACTTTCAAACGTAAGCCTCCAAGGCATGTTATAGTCATACTGCAATGTACTATAATATCACATAAATAAGTTATTAGGCACCGTGATGATAATAATAATAATAATTAATTTAATTCATTTTCGTCAATATTTTAATAATTCTGTCAACTGTTTGTCGTGAAGACAATACTTACGTGGTAACTGAATTCGGGCATGAAGATTTTCTTCGAGGCAGACGGGTTAAGGAGCGCTGCTGTGTTCCAGGCATGGTCACGTGGCGCGAAGTAAGTAAATCGCTTCGTCGTGTCGTTCAATTGGTCGTTGAATCCCTGTCGTTGTCCCAAGAAGTAAGTGGAGCTTAAAAAAGACAAAGAAATTGATGAATCGTATCGATATTTGTCGGTAACCTGTAAGTTATGACAATGCGAAAGAATTAATCCTGAAGTTCGACTTTTGCAAATACAAACATCTGACCAGTTTTATTTTCTCACAAACAATAGCAATGGTATTTGCAAGATATCAAATAATAATATGACTATAGTTGTAACATGAAAAATATGTTAAAGTTCTTGTATAACCAGAATTCTCCATCTGGATCAGTGTTGCGTCGCAAATGCAACCGTTAAGAATTTGAATTTACGACACGGACGACCAGGCCTGCTATTTTTGAAGGCTTCTTAATTTCTAATTCTTTTGTGTTTAATTTTCTTTTCGAAGCAACGCCGAGGGCCAGAATGTGTTTTATGAACGCAGAAACTCGACGCTTCTGCGTGCCATATACCTTCCTGGTAGTCCGTACGTTTCATTTAACCCTTTGGCTACGGTAGATTTTGGTGAATTTTTAACTACGGCTGCGAAATTTGTTATTTTAGCCGTATAGTGAGATGGAAGTGTTTAAGGATAAAATTAAATATTAAATTAAGGTGAAAGTGCAGCAAAAGGCTCGAACAATATAGTGCGAGCAAATTTTCAAAACGCCTATAGGCGCCAATAGTAATGAAAGGGTTAATGGTAATTGACGTATCGTAAAGTCACTACACACACACGCAAATTCAGTCGCGTAAGGGCTGACATCGCTTGGGCCTCAGATCCCCGCCACGACGCCGTACCGCCGCTTTATCGAGAGTGGAAATCCAACGTGGGTCGTGTGCTCTCGCGGCTCATGGAGGACAGCCCAAGAGGAAGAAGAAGCCTTATTCGTCAGCATAGACCATATATTTAATATAAACAGTAGGAAAATTCAAAGCGTCGAAATGCCCATTTCATTTCAAAAAAGTTAACTCAGCAATACAGCCTGCATCGGTAGATTTAGAGTAATTCACATTCATATTTGTCTACAAGTAATATTCATACAACTCACACAAGATTAACTTGGCGTGTGAGAGACGTGGAACACTACGTTCAACAGAATAAAGATTCGCGCCACAACAATCAGCAATGAGCAAGTTGCTTGTGCGATCTACTTCAATCAACAAAAGCGATAAATTTTTGCATTTAGCACGATATAAGAATTAATGAAATAATTTTCGAAAAGACCGTATGATTTAGGATAGATAATATGATAAAAACTATAATATAGACAGTGGCGGCTCGTAAACTTTCAGAAAATAATGTAAAACCAAAATGAGTTCGAAAATGAACAATTTTGTAGCGATTCACATGGATTATTGGGTTTTCGATTTTGATCAGCTGCTGATCTAGATTATACGTGTCGCTATACCCCTATCTATACATCTAAAAGTTGGTCCAATTCAAACAATCGGAGTGAAAGAAATCTTCGGCATTCTTTTGGAATACTACTCTTCTCGATTGGATTGTACTGTGCAGAGATGAGAGGTTGGCTAGCGAAAGAAACGCGGGTCTGATTGGTTGCACTGAAACAGTCCCACCTTCTCTTACACAATCATATGTATTTTTGTTATTGGCCGAAACGCTGACATCTACAAATAGAAATCATATAGCATCGCGTGAGAAAGAGAGCAAACGGAACATATCGAGACCAAGTGGGATAGTGATAGCAAGCGATCCGACAAAATTCAAAGCAATAGCGTACACTCGGTTTCATGTATCTGCGGTAGGTTTTGGAACGTATGACCAGCGGACGTATGGAGAGTGCTGGAAAAATGACGGGTGGGATGGCGCAAAGGCAAGAGAGGTACTTCGCTCGCTATACAGGGTGACCCGTAACTCCTCGAACATCCGGAAATGGGGGGTTGCTGAGGTGACTCTGAACAACTTTTTCCTTAACCCAAATGTTGGTTGAAGCTTCGTTTTTGAATTATTAACGAAAAACACTGGCCAATCGGAGCGCGCGTAGAGCCCGTGCCCGGGCACGGGGAAGCTTCGTTTTTGAATTATTAACGAAAAACACTGGCCAATCAGAGCGCGCGTAGAGCCCGTGCCCGGGCACGGCAGCGCAGGGACTCATCCGCGCGCGATCGTGAACAAACGCATCGGCACAGTGTGGGTATCGAGGGAAGCGTGCGGCAAATGTTACATCGTCTTAAATCAAGAATAATCTGGAATTATTCGTTATGCATGAATAACAAATAAACGAAAGCTTCAAAAACGAAGCTTCAACCAGCATTTTGGTAAAGGAAAAAGTTGTTCAGAGTCACCCCAGCAACCCCCTATTTCCGGGTGTTCGAGGAGTTACGGGACACCCTGTATGATCCGATCCGTCAATGTTATCGCGTTCGACCAATAATAACAACACGTGTGCCCGACTTCTATAATTGCATTAGAGAAGGCGGGCCTGCAACTAGTGTTTGCCGCTCTGAGTAGGGCTCAAAGTACCGCGGTGTCTATCCTATACCTCTATCAAGCATGATCTCTACTCTCTATCGAAACCACCAACCGCTAGAACCGGCCCAGAGAATCAGCAAGGACGTCCGTCCCAGATTTGAACTCCATATTGGCGGTAAGGATCTTTTCTCTTGGGTTTCGATTGCTAGGCGTTAGTAATTTCTAGGTGTTAGTAGGTAGGCCTACAGAGACATAATCCAATCAGACCTGTATTTCTTCCGTTCGTCATTTTTCCAGCACCGCACAGTACTGTATTATGTTAGCGTGTGTCGCTAAAAACCTTAAGGAGGCGGCTTCAGGAGGGTCGCAGACAGTATCAGGCGGAGCGAACGGAGTACTCCTCTTGTCGGCCCGCTAGCCATCTTTCCATCTCCGCACAGTACGTACTTACGTCCATCAGGAGTTCAGTAACACAGGGTAAAAGAATGAAACGCAGAGGCAAACAAATCCATTCTAGTGGATCCTGATATTCGTAAACGCACAAACATGACGTATAGGCAAGGTAGGGAAGTACCAGCATCGATGGCTTCTCGTTTGGATATCATGGTATGGAGTGATGGAATACTGACATACTGCATCGAATAACGATAGCTATCGTACGAAGGGACTAATGGCATTGAAGCCAGCGTATAACTAACCGTTTCCTAGTTAGTGGTTGCCCGATGATTCGACATAACAAGATAGAGTGTATGTCGGTCATCTTGACGCTCAGGACGTTGCATCGTTTGTAATGTATATCGCCTACAGATAAATTCGTATCACAAGTCATTGTACGTTACGTTAATCCTTGTGTAGCCAACCAAAATATTCATCGTTGTTGAACAACCGGGGTACCAGGGTACCCACATAGGAGAAATTATAATTAGACGAAATATGAATGGAAATTTTGGGAAGAAATTATGCAGAATGCAAAATTGTTAATGCTACTTATTCATTAAAATAAAAAATTTTAATTATAACGATTAATTTACTGTAGGACAATTTTTACAGATTGTAATTGTGTTTGCATGTTCATCGCAAACTGGTAGTAAACATTTCTGACAGCTTTTTCTTGTTTCCCTGCGTTTTTTAGCAGGATCTAGCTGACACATGTGACATGATCCTGCAACTCTTTTTCTTCTACTTGTACCTAACGAGAACAACGTCGATTGTACAGAACTAGTAGAAGGACTGTTTATTGGGCGTGATGTAAATAGTATACTGTCTATTGCTAATTTAGTTGAAAAGTGTCGATTTTGAATAGTTGCAATACAATTGTTTTTTTATGCAACATGCTATTATTTGAGTGATATATAAGGTAGGAGGAAAGAGCGGCAATATCTAATATGTTATAAAAAAGTGCTAGTGGCCATCTGGTTTGATCCATTATGTCAACGTCAGATTTTGTTTGATTACAAAATTGAACAATTTCTGGTTTTCTTTTTGGTCCAGAGACAGCATTACCAGTATGCATTGTTGACAATAGTATGACGGCTTTTTCCTTTTTCGGCACATACGAACAAAGTGTAATATTTTCATGGTATCCAAATAAGTAGCTAATTGCTAAAGAATTTAGAATAAATTGCTAAAGAGCAAGATGAGCAAGTAGAGAGTCAAGATGAACATGCATGCATACGAACGACAGGGACTGTTGACTTTATCATGGAATTATATTGTAGTTTCAAACAATCTTTCGCTCAAATCTTTTATAACAGTATTTGGTATATTACAGGAAGGAAAAATTAAGAGCATATCGGACAAGAATGACAGTAAAATTATCGCTACATATCTCATGTATCGGAATAAGATGCTTGGGGGCACCCGGGTACCCCGGTTGTCCAGCAAGCGTGTAAATAAGTTGGAAGTTTAATTATTTAAAATATTTTATATCAATTTTTTTCACGAAACGTTAATCGATATAAAAGTGTCCAAAGAATGGGGATCTGGGGAACCGTTGTGCGATATTTTGTCAAAAACATTAAAAATTTCTGAAGAAAATATAGAAATGGGCACCCGGTTGTCCACACAAGGATTAAAGTTAACCAAACAAGTGCCAACTGTGCGTTGACAACGTTATTCTACGCTCTTTTTATACGACATTTTTTTTGTTTCCGAAGCATTGAAGTTTTTCTCTCGTTTTTCGTTGAATTTTTGATCGGTCGAAAGCGTTCGGATTAGCCTCGCGTGATGGAAACGCACCTCGCGTAAATGTTTAGTTACGGAAGCTCACTCATTTAATGGGGTTTAGCGTCGCGAAAGTTTATTTATTGGTTATCGGTATATCGTTCAATTGGATTTTCCATTATCGATGCATCGATAATTGAAATAACGAGAGGCGAATTAAATCACGATGGATTTGGCTGGGTAATATTCGTACGGTTCGAACACGTGTTTGGAAACTGTTTTGTTAAAACAGTCTAGCGGAATGAAAATACGTATATGTATAGTTTCTACGTATACTACGTGTATGTATATATATATATATATATATATACGTTTCTATTTACGTATACGTACGTGTATGTAAAAGTTGAAGAAATTTCATTTGAAAACTCCTGACAATTCGTTTCTTT